CCAGGTTTTGGGAAAATCCCCGCACAAAGCTAGATCCCAGATGTGTCCTCTTCTAATATGTGAGGAAATGGTGTGCAAAGGGAAATGGTGTACTGGGAAATGGTGTACTGGGAAACTGGACCATAATATATGTATTTCATCATATTCTAGTGGTTCATTTCGGCAGTATGGATTTTGGCACATACAACACAAAATGCAAGTATGTCAAATTTGGTGAAAATCTGTTAAGTCAAATTTTAGACCCCCAAAACCGTAATATAGACTTCATAAACATATTTTCGGTGCAAGGTATTAAACTTATGCAAGAATGCTTTGCTTGCTTTGTTGAAAACCGGCTCAAGTTTTGGATTTAGCTCCTATATATTCTGTGAGGAATATTTTAAAAAGTTTACAACGTAAATCTAGGTTTTGGAAGAATTCCCACACGAAGCTAGATCTCAGTTTGCGGTATTTTGAGGTACCTTGCCACTTCACTGTCATTTCTTATGGAGCCCTCTTCTAATATGTGGGAAAATGGCGTGCAAAGCTTTATTGCTCTGTGTTGTTTCCAGAATACTCGTTGGTGATAAGCTACTGGGAAATTGGACCATAATATATACATTTCATCATATTCTAGTGGTTCATTTCGGCAGTATGGATTTTGACACGTACAAAGCAATGTAGCCCAAATGCAAGTATGTCAAATTTGGTGAAAATCTGTTAAGACATATTTAAGATCCCCAAAACCTTAATATAGACTCCATAAACATGTTTTCGGTGCAAGATATTAAGCTTATACAAGAATGCTTTGCCTGATTTGTTGAAAACCGGCTCAGGTTTTGGATTTAGCTCAAATATATTCTGTGAAGAATCCTTTAAAAAGTTTGCCATGTAATTCAAGGTTTTGGATAAATCCCCACACGAAGCCCGGTTGCCGGTATTTTAAGGGTCCTAGCCACTTGACTGTACAGTCGTACGGCCTTTTCTTATTGTGTCCTCTTCTAATATGTGGGGAAAGGGCGTGTAAAACTTTTATTGCTCTGTGCTGTTTCCGGAATCCGAGTTGGTGATAAGCTACTGGGAAACTGAAACATAATACATATGTTTCATCATATTCTAGTGGTTCATTTTGGCAGATATCAATTCGATATTCTCATTCCGTCAATTCTCGTTGCTTACTGCAATAAATTGTAAACACCATGGACTATGCTACTGCATTTTATAATTTTATATTTATATCTCCTAAAGCTGTATTAAAACTCTAGATCAGGTACTGGAAAACTGGACTATAATATATACGTTTCATCATATTCTAATGGTTCTTTTGGCAGATACCATATCGATGTTGTTACCCGTCAATTCTTCTTACTTACCGCTATAAATAGTGACCCCATGAACTATGCTACTGCATTTAACTCAAACAAGTCAAAATTTAATTTAATATTTGATTAAAATCAAAATTTAATTTAATATTGGATTAAATTCTGACTTGAGATTTATTTTCAAAATTTAATTTGACATTGTATTAAATTCTGATTTAAGATTTATTTTCTGAGTACCAGCAAACATTTCGGGTTAAATCTTGTGGGACGCGAAATGAACGTTGATTGATTAAATTAAAAATATATATACAAATACGTTTTTTGTTTTCAAAATACCATAGAATATCGGCATGTATATTTTTCGTGTTTATTCCTAAAATTATAATAAATACATATATTTTGAAAAAGGTAGATATTAAAGACAAATACCCATTTTTTACTTAATGCTTTGTAATGTTGTCTATATTATACGTTCGAATACATATGTGGAATTAATCGCAGAAAAAACTAATGCTTAATATAAATACAAATGGTAGTATATACTAAAAAATTAGTATAATATGGATGGTTAATCTGCCAATTTAATTGAACATTTGATTAAAGTACTGATGGAATTTGGTAAAATATTTACTTAATGCCTTAAAACACTTGAAATAAATCTGAACGAATTTAGTCAACTTAATCTGGCACGAAGTATTATGCAAAAGCAAATAAAAAAATTTCTAAGTTTGAAGATTTTTTAACTTACCAATGCATGAAAAAATTTAAATTACAAGTTAATTGAAGGTGGAAAATAAAATTTAAAGGATTTTAAAATTATACAAAATTTTCTTTAAAATTTAAATAATAAATTTATTGAGAATGCCCAATTTAAAATGGGTATGCCCAAATTAAAACGTATTAAATTTAAAAACGCGACTTGAACAGTATAAATGTGCAATCACTACTTCTGCACCAGATTATAGACACACATTACTAAACCAAATCGGCAAACGAAGTTTACAATTGAATTAAGCAATTTTGAATTGTAGTACGTATGTAAATAAATCTATTAACGTTTTTATTTGTTACTTATTGTGGATGTCCACCGGTGAAAATAATATGTACATTATTATACGAATCATTTTTTCTTACGCTACGTAGTGTAATCGTCGTGTTGAGAACTAAAATAGCTCACTAAGCCACTAAACTCGCTAGCCTGTCGGTCAGTTGCCGGTGTTTCGTGTATTGCTGTCAATTGGGGATCATCTGCTACGTCCTGTTTGTTGCAAGGTGAATCCTGAGTTGTTGATAAAAGTTCCCACGGTGGTGATAAGCTACTGGGAAACTGGACCATAATATATATATTTCATCATATTCTAGGGTTTCATTTCGGCAGTACGGATTTTGACACATACAACACAAAGACTATTGCATTTAAAGTAAACAAATCTAAATCTAATTTAATATTGGATTTAAGATTTACTTTCTGAGTACCAGCAAGATTTCGGGTTAAACCTTGTAGGACACGAAATGAGCGTCGATTAATTTAATTAAACAAATATATACAACTGCGTTTTTTTTATCAAAATGTCATGGTATATAGGCATGTATAATATATACTGTCAAGAATCCTTTCAAAAACTTTACAATGTAAACCCAGGTTTTGGGAAAATCCCCGCACAAAGCTAGATCCCAGATGTGTCCTCTTCTAATATGTGGGTAAATGGCGTGCAAAGCTTTTATTGCTCTGTGTTGTTTCCGGAATCCACGGTGGTGATAAGCTACTGGGAAACTGGACCATAATATATATATTTCATCATATTCTAGGGTTTCATTTCGGCAGTACGGATTTTGACACATACAACACAAAGACTATTGCATTTAAAGTAAACAAATCTAAATCTAATTTAATATTGGATTTAAGATTTACTTTCTGAGTACCAGCAAGATTTCGGGTTAAACCTTGTAGGACACGAAATGAGCGTCGATTAATTTAATTAAACAAATATATACAACTGCGTTTTTTTTATCAAAATGTCATGGTATATAGGCATGTATAATATATACTGTCAAGAATCCTTTCAAAAACTTTACAATGTAAACCCAGGTTTTGGGAAAATCCCCGCACAAAGCTAGATCCCAGATGTGTCCTCTTCTAATATGTGAGGAAATGGTGTGCAAAGGGAAATGGTGTACTGGGAAATGGTGTACTGGGAAACTGGACCATAATATATGTATTTCATCATATTCTAGTGGTTCATTTCGGCAGTATGGATTTTGGCACATACAACACAAAATGCAAGTATGTCAAATTTGGTGAAAATCTGTTAAGTCAAATTTTAGACCCCCAAAACCGTAATATAGACTTCATAAACATATTTTCGGTGCAAGGTATTAAACTTATGCAAGAATGCTTTGCTTGCTTTGTTGAAAACCGGCTCAAGTTTTGGATTTAGCTCCTATATATTCTGTGAGGAATATTTTAAAAAGTTTACAACGTAAATCTAGGTTTTGGAAGAATTCCCACACGAAGCTAGATCTCAGTTTGCGGTATTTTGAGGTACCTTGCCACTTCACTGTCATTTCTTATGGAGCCCTCTTCTAATATGTGGGAAAATGGCGTGCAAAGCTTTATTGCTCTGTGTTGTTTCCAGAATACTCGTTGGTGATAAGCTACTGGGAAATTGGACCATAATATATACATTTCATCATATTCTAGTGGTTCATTTCGGCAGTATGGATTTTGACACGTACAAAGCAATGTAGCCCAAATGCAAGTATGTCAAATTTGGTGAAAATCTGTTAAGACATATTTAAGATCCCCAAAACCTTAATATAGACTCCATAAACATGTTTTCGGTGCAAGATATTAAGCTTATACAAGAATGCTTTGCCTGATTTGTTGAAAACCGGCTCAGGTTTTGGATTTAGCTCAAATATATTCTGTGAAGAATCCTTTAAAAAGTTTGCCATGTAATTCAAGGTTTTGGATAAATCCCCACACGAAGCCCGGTTGCCGGTATTTTAAGGGTCCTAGCCACTTGACTGTACAGTCGTACGGCCTTTTCTTATTGTGTCCTCTTCTAATATGTGGGGAAAGGGCGTGTAAAACTTTTATTGCTCTGTGCTGTTTCCGGAATCCGAGTTGGTGATAAGCTACTGGGAAACTGAAACATAATACATATGTTTCATCATATTCTAGTGGTTCATTTTGGCAGATATCAATTCGATATTCTCATTCCGTCAATTCTCGTTGCTTACTGCAATAAATTGTAAACACCATGGACTATGCTACTGCATTTTATAATTTTATATTTATATCTCCTAAAGCTGTATTAAAACTCTAGATCAGGTACTGGAAAACTGGACTATAATATATACGTTTCATCATATTCTAATGGTTCTTTTGGCAGATACCATATCGATGTTGTTACCCGTCAATTCTTCTTACTTACCGCTATAAATAGTGACCCCATGAACTATGCTACTGCATTTAACTCAAACAAGTCAAAATTTAATTTAATATTTGATTAAAATCAAAATTTAATTTAATATTGGATTAAATTCTGACTTGAGATTTATTTTCAAAATTTAATTTGACATTGGATTAAATTCTGATTTAAGATTTATTTTCTGAGTACCAGCAAACATTTCGGGTTAAATCTTGTGGGACGCGAAATGAACGTTGATTGATTAAATTAAAAATATATATACAAATACGTTTTTTGTTTTCAAAATACCATAGAATATCGGCATGTATATTTTTCGTGTTTATTCCTAAAATTATAATAAATACATATATTTTGAAAAAGGTAGATATTAAAGACAAATACCCATTTTTTACTTAATGCTTTGTAATGTTGTCTATATTATACGTTCGAATACATATGTGGAATTAATCGCAGAAAAAACTAATGCTTAATATAAATACAAATGGTAGTATATACTAAAAAATTAGTATAATATGGATGGTTAATCTGCCAATTTAATTGAACATTTGATTAAAGTACTGATGGAATTTGGTAAAATATTTACTTAATGCCTTAAAACACTTGAAATAAATCTGAACGAATTTAGTCAACTTAATCTGGCACGAAGTATTATGCAAAAGCAAATAAAAAAATTTCTAAGTTTGAAGATTTTTTAACTTACCAATGCATGAAAAAATTTAAATTACAAGTTAATTGAAGGTGGAAAATAAAATTTAAAGGATTTTAAAATTATACAAAATTTTCTTTAAAATTTAAATAATAAATTTATTGAGAATGCCCAATTTAAAATGGGTATGCCCAAATTAAAACGTATTAAATTTAAAAACGCGACTTGAACAGTATAAATGTGCAATCACTACTTCTGCACCAGATTATAGACACACATTACTAAACCAAATCGGCAAACGAAGTTTACAATTGAATTAAGCAATTTTGAATTGTAGTACGTATGTAAATAAATCTATTAACGTTTTTATTTGTTACTTATTGTGGATGTCCACCGGTGAAAATAATATGTACATTATTATACGAATCATTTTTTCTTACGCTACGTAGTGTAATCGTCGTGTTGAGAACTAAAATAGCTCACTAAGCCACTAAACTCGCTAGCCTGTCGGTCAGTTGCCGGTGTTTCGTGTATTGCTGTCAATTGGGGATCATCTGCTACGTCCTGTTTGTTGCAAGGTGAATCCTGAGTTGTTGATAAAAGTTCCTCTTGCTGTATTGGCGACTTAACCCTAGAGCTGCTTGCAGAATATTCTTCCAACGTCGTCAGTTGCTTTCTTGAATCAGGGATTGGCTTTGGAGATGTTTTAACCGGCGATTTTAAAGTATTGCTTTCAGAAGATATTTCCTGTTTAATAACTATTGGTTTGGCAATAGTATCTTCCTCGATAACTCTTGGTGGCATGGGCTTGTCTTTATTAGAGAGAAGTGTCGCTGACTGAACGCTAGAGGCAATGACCGACGTAGGAGGTTGCTGTAGAATCACTTGGGACCGTACTGGGGTTGTCAATGGTGGAGGAGGGGGGTAAAAACTATATGGAGGGTGATATGGACCTGGAAATGCACAAATATTAGTTGTCTATGTTTTATAAATTTTTAAAATATACTAACGTGGTTCTGTTGGATAATCTGTCGAATGAAGGTTAGGCCTGTGATTGCCACGATGAACAAAATTTGGATTTCCATATATAGGTGGCCTAAGGTAAAAAAATTAGAACAGACCTGATTTTGAAATCTATGATAATTCGTACCCGTATACATTAAGGTGAGAGCCGGAATGCCTTGTGGGTGGCACACTTCCAATAAAGGGCGGTAGATGTACCTGAGGTCTGACATTTGCGGAACTGGTTGTTGATGGTGCCGATAAGGCTCCTTTTAAAGGGGGTGGAGGACCATATGAATGTCGTAATGCCGAATGGGTTGTCAAATGCCCTTGCGGTATTGGCGGCGGACCCCGATGTCGTTGTGTATTTCCATGTGGAATGCGAGATGAAGGTGAGCCGTAAAAGCCTTAAAGAATAAATACGTTAATATCAAGAGATTTATCTAAATTATTATAGGAGAAACCTTCAGGTCCTGCAAATATTGGTCCGGTTTGTATGGTATTTAAGGAACGAGGCTGCATAGTAGGAATTGCACTGCCTTGTTGTTCTGGAGCCTTAGTAGGTGCTGATACTCTTATAACACCATCTGATCCTTTGAAAGAGTACGGTGGTTTGATAATTCCAATAGATGAGTTCGCAATACTTGCTGAAGTGGAAGCAGAAGCTGCAGCAGCTACGGCTGCCGCTGTCTGCTGCTTTTGTAAAGTATCTCTTAGAGGTGTAATTTTCTTTCGACGTCCTCTGGGTTTAACTTCAGACTCAGCTGTTGGCGCTGTCGCTTTGCTTTGTGACTGCATATTTATTTGTTGTGTTGATTTAACAATTAAAGGAGTGGACATGCGGGAAGGTGCATTAACTGCTGATGGAGAAGATGGGACTTGTGTACTGTTAGTCATTCGAGTAATTAGAGATTGATTATTCGGTGGCATAGGATATGAACTGGAGAATGATTGATTTGCCGGCGATGAAAGAGCATTCTGCAGTAAGTGACTCAAGTGCGGGGAAGTATGTCTTTGGACCACTATCGGCGCTCCGTGCACACTGTCATGATGTTGATGGCGCAATAAAGGAGGATGCATTGTGGGCATTGGAAATCGTTTTCTAACAGGCTCTTGAAGACCAGAGGATGCAACTGCAATGGTTGGTTGCAATGTTACAGTAGAAAGTTCTGGGGTTTTATCAGTAGTATGTACATTTTCCACAGGTTTCGATTTTGCTTTGACGGAGGCTGGCGTTGGTTGAATAATTTCATCAGATGGCGGCAGATCTCTTGTTGCAACAGCAGCAAACTCTTCTTCATCTTCAACCATACGAGCGATGGCGTCTTCATCCATGTCTTCCGGTAGATCGTCAGGTAAGTCTGCGTCATCAAACTCATCATCAACATCATTTAGTGAATCATCTAATGGTTCGCCACGACGTTGCAAGTAATCAATGTCAAGTACCTTGGCTTGTCTTATTACGGACATCGGCACTGTAGACAATGTATCTCCAACCGACTTCGAAGGTGATTTTTTCTCCCTATCACATTCACTTTTGATAGGTGTAAGGCGAGGCGTAGCAACAAGTTTTGCGCCTTCTGCATTCTTTTCTGCTAACATACGCTTTATTTCCTCTTGACGTTTTATGAATTTTTCACGCTCTTCTGGCGGTGTATCGGGACGTTTCACACCAGGTTTAATGCCGCCATCTGAACTATCATCGTCGAAATCCTCTATGTAAGCATACCGTCTACCACGAGTACGCCTCGTACTATCGCCACTATCTGAAAAACTCTTATCCTCATCTGAGAATTTTTTATTGTTAGAAGTTTTAGCTTTCGCTTTGCTTGAATTGGAATTAGTCTTTAGGGGCTGTGAACGTGGTTGTTTTCCTCCACCAACTGCACCGTTACTATCATCTTCAATTTCTTCTTCGTCGGTATCTGTTATATCGTCATCCGAATACACCTCCTTCTTGGATTTATTCAAATGACGGACCTTTGTTTTGCTAGACTTTCCTGCTGTTGGACCAGATGTCTTTTTCGATTTTTTACGTTTGTTGGGGCGCCAAGCTCCATCCGATTCATCAGTTGTTGTATCATCACACAAATCAGCGCTATCAATGTTGTTTGATAGCTCCGACAGATCTTCGTCATCTATTTCACTTTCAGTATAATCAGATTCAACTTTCCGTTTCTTTTTCGATTTAGGTTTTTGTACTTCTTCATCGTCATCACTGTTGTCTACTATAAAATTCCTGTCCTTGCGACGTTCTCTAAAAGCACGTCTTGCAGCTTTTCTCTGTTTTTTCCTTGACTTGCCTTTTCGTTTATATATTTCCAAACTTGAGTCACTATTAATTGAGCATGACCCAAAGCTGTCGTCTTCTTCGTCCACGGACGACCCTTTAAAATCTTCATCAGAAGCATCGTCGTCTTCCGAGCTTATATCTAATGTCGTTAGCTTACGAGATTTTTTCTTCATTGTCGACTTTGACTGAACAAGGTCCTTTATTAGTTCATCCTCACTTTCGCTTTCATCTTTTTGAGCGCTCTCTTTTTCGTTCCTGGAATCGTTTTTCTCTTCTTTTTCCACCGGCATGTCAGAGGTCTCAAGATTTTTCTGCCTCGCCTTCTCCTCCTTGTCAGCTTCTATTATTGTTGATATATCTTTCCCTCGACCTAAATTACCTGCTCCAGCAACCTCATCCATTTCCTTCTTAAGTGCAGAATTAATAAGGTCATCATACTCATTCAATCTGTAACTAACATTTAATTGCCTTCGCTTTCTCAATTTGTAGATTGGTTCGTCGTCACTATCAGAAAACGAGGAAGACGATTCACTTTTTGATACACTTTCAGAATTTGATGTTCTATGAGAATTGCTGTCACTTTCCGAAAGACTTTTTTGCTTATGGCTTCTAGTATTACGATATGAATATTGCCTTCGATCATTCCTTCGGCGTTTGTCAATTGTCTTCTTTTTCGGAAGTTTCTTGTTCTCTGTTTCACTTTCGCCAGAGTTGGAGTTTGTTGCGGCATCGCTCTCTACACTGTGCTCAGTATTTATGTCGCTGCTGCTACCATCTTGACCATGCTGAATTTTCTTAGTTTTTCGTTTATTTTGACTTGTGAGCTCTTCTTCCTCTAAACGTCGCGCATTTTCTTTCTCCATCTGGCGTTTCAATTCTTCTTGCTCTTCTTTTTTGCGCTCAACCATTTCATCAAACTCGTTTAGCTGTCCCTCTAATGCTTTTATTAATTGTTCTTGTTGACACGGTGGGCAGTACCAGTCACCTTCCGGAATATAAAAAAGAACAGGCGATAAACATGAACAATGATAACCTTTGTCGCATTTATCGCACAGTAATATCCACTCTGGGTGGTCCGACTTATGACATTTTTGACAAGCTTCCTCTTCATCTGGCTCATTGTCTACATCATTTTCTTTGCGAACAGTTCGTGCTCTCTTCATGGGTACTACTTGAGTTTCATCCTCAATATCCGATTCAGGTGAGAATTCGTGATCCGACCTGAAAAGTGGCGAACCAGGATCTGTCTCATAACGATGGTGCTCTTCATACTCCTCTTCATCTGGTTCTTCTTGCTCTTCTGATCCGGATGACCAGCTGCCATTCTTTCCCGGACATTTCTTTTTCTGCACTTTCTTCTTTGTGTCGATTTCACTCTCCTCTGATTCTGATGAAGGTTCTGAGGGGGGAAGAATGGTAGGATCCGCTTCTTTTTCTGCCTTCTTTTTCTTTTTTAACTCTTGCTTCATTGTTCTTAAAGCTATTTCCTCAAGTTTTCGACGCTCAGCTTCCTCTCGAATTTTTAACTGAGCTATGCGCCTTGATTGACGCACAGGTGTTTCAGCGTCGGTGGTATCAATTATATTTGTAGCATCAACATCACGTTGCTTACGATTTCCCTTAACCACTTTTTTCGATGATGCCGGTATATCTGTCTTAATAGCGTCTGGAATTGTATTGGCTTTTTCGTCAGAAACTTCTCCTCCGTCTTCCTTCTTAACTGATTTGCTTCGATCTACACCAACGGGGGAAAGACATTTGTTTAAAACCTAAAATGTAATTGTTCGTTAAAAACCCAATGAACGATTAAGAAAAATACATCACCTTTTCTGATTCCATGTTTTTATCTGCGGGCATTTCTTTGCTATTCAATTTACTCTTCTCCGCCACCGATTCAGTTCTTTTTACATCTATTTTCTTTTTATTAGATTGGCAAATATTCGCATTACCACGCCTCGTTGCTCTCCGACCATAACTCGAAACTGAAACATCTTCTTCTTTTTTTAATTCATCTACATGGACTGCAGGTTCTGCATCTTCTATGCTTAATACTTTTGTCTTAACGGCATCAGTTTCTCCTTTTTCGTGGAATTCGCTGTGCGAAACTTCCTTTTTAGCTTCTGGTTCCTCTTTAACAACATGGCAATCTGCCTCCTCACTGCTGTGCCGTTTTCTCTGCCGTTCAAAAACCTTACTTTTATTGTCTTTCATATTGTCTACCACAGAAGATTTTTCCTCTGTCCTGTTTTCATTTTTCACATCAGCCGTGTTATCAGCCATAGATTCTTTTTCTGTTTCTTCGTGCCAAATTTGTTTTAATAAATTCTTCTTTAAAGGCTTTGTTACAGGATTTTTTTTCGTTGTTGATGGCGGAGATTTTGTCCGTCTTTTAGAACAAATATCCTCACCAATTTCTTCGTGGGTCTTTTTCAACTTCTTGTCTATAATTTCTTCTAAAGTTTTCTTTTGTTTTGCTATGGATAAATGGGTATCACTTTTAGAAACTATCTCTTTCGACGGCTCGTTCTTTGCATTGTTTGTCATGCTTTTGCTCGGCAAATTATGTTCATCTGATCCGTTGGCGTTATTAGAAGATATCTGACTGGCGGATTTGTCTATCTGTTCAGTTTTAATCAACTTCTTTTCAATATGTTTTTTAGGCGAACATATTTTTCTTCTTCTTTGTGTATTCTCTTCTCCTCCACTCGATGAATTGACTTCATCGTGAACAGCTGCTTTCTTTGCCTCCACCTTTTTTCGCAACTCTGTATTGCTTTGTTTGGGACGCATTTTTAGCCGCTTTCCACCAACGTCGGGCTCATCAACTTCCGCGTCTTTATCATTATTGCAGTCTTCTGTGTTTTCAGAATTTATGTCAATCTCGCTTTCTGATTGCAAATTTTTCTGAATTGGCTGTGATTCGAATTTCCCCAAACGTCTTTTTCGGTTTAAGCTAGGTTGAATTTCTGAATTTGATGTTTCTTTTTCTTCAGCAATTTTAGGATCCGGAGTCTTTTCCAAATGTATGTCTGTATTTGTCGGTAAAGCATCAGCAGAACTTTCCTCTTTTTTTGGATTTTCGCCTGCGCTACAAATGTTTGCAGTAAGTTTGCTTTTTACATTTCTTGCAAGTCTGGATTTTGGAGCACTGTTTTTGGAATCAGACAACTCTTTTGCTTTCTCTGAATTATCTTTGTCATTTCTTAGATTTTCCGTGTCTGTATCGTTGCTTTTTGTTTTATTATCTTCTTTATCGATTGTTGTACTCTCAAGCTTCACTTCCTGACATTTTTCATCCTTGGGGTTCAATTTAACAGTTTCATTAATTGCATCAACTTTGATGTTGTCTTTCAAAGCGGATTCGGTTGATACATTATCTTCACTTTTTGAGTTGCCTATTAAACATTCTGTACCATATCCTTCTCCACACACTAAGACCAAATCCTCTTCAATAGCATCGCTTACATGTATTTCTTGTTCATCCTCAATGAAATAATCACCGCAATTAAAAAATACAGATTCGCATTCATTACCAGAACCTGTCCCTTCTACATGCAAAACAGGATCAGTGATAGCTTCACCTACAACTACATTCGGAATATCATCATCATCGAATTCCTCAATTTGTTTCTCTTCGTTTTCGTCTTCTTCAGCGGCTGCAGAGTCTATGTCCTCTTCTTCAATCTCATCTTCAGTATCTGATTCCTCTCCGCTATCTTCTCGGTCTTCTTCTCCTGTTTTGTCCTCCTCATCGTTGATAGTTGATATTTTGTACCGTTTGGTGTCCGGCAAAGAAGTTTTTTCGTTCTTTTCGGGATTAATTTCTTCTTGTGTTGTACATATGGGTTCCCGATCTTCACTTGCCAATCTCTTTTTACCCAATTTGTTTGTAGTGTCTTGCTCGCTCTGCGTGCTTGTTATTTGCTTCTGTGTTATAAGTATTGGCTAAAGCGAGTAAATATATTCCTTAGTTTGCTTACGAAACAATGTATTAATTTTTACCATATTTCTTACCTCAACTCTCCGCTTGTCTTCCGGGTTTCCTACATTCTGAACGCCTTTTTGTGCGATTTCCTTCTTTTCACATTTGCCCTCTGGATCTACTTTTGATTTCTTTTCTTCATTGTTCGTATCTTTTATTTTCTTTTGTGATATAATGATTGGCTGAAAAGTAATTGAATTTAAAATGGATTATTTAAGACATCGTTCTCATTTTGAAGAAACTCACCTCAATTTTCCTGCTTTTTTCGCTGTCATCGCTTTCCGCATCTTTACTCTTTCCTTCTAAAACGTATTCCTTATTTTCGCCAATATTCTCAGTGCAATCACGTGTATATTTACTATTCGAATATTCATTATCGTCTGTGGTTTGACCTTCTCCACCACTGGGAAGATCGTTTGTTTCACTTTCGATTAAAGTTTTGTCATTTGAGATTTTAATACTTAATTTCGGTACTTTTTGTTCACCACCGTCTGTTTTGGATTGGGTTTCTTCTAAATTAATTTTTGCGTCTGGTCCTGCTAAGCTATTGCTGCTGCTGGTATCTTCATCAATTGTGCCAATATCATTTGAAGGCAGTACTACCTCATTCCCACGTAGTCTATCTATCAAATTAACAAACTCCTCGCGATTAGTTGCAACAACTTGCCAAATATCTTCATCCAAATGCTCCTGGTAAATTCTTAAATTACAATCATTATCTTGTGTAATCCAGTATGCGTGACCAAGGCGATCGCGTCCTATCGGCTCCGACCTTAGCGACTCTGCCGATTGAGTTAGAATTTTGGCTCTGAATTTAGTATTTCGCTCGAATTGACTTTCAAGTAGCTCCTGCAAAAATTATAAAAATATTATTTTGCAAAAGATCAACAACTATCACCTACCTTTAATACCCTCAATTTTACTTTAAGGCTGGCATTTTTATATCCAAATCTTTCTATTTCCCAAGCATCTTGCGCGGAGTAGGAAAAACAAAATTTACTCAAAGCTGACTCCCAGCTCTTTTCGTGTACAGTTTTACGATTCTTCCGCATCAATTTTATATGCAAATCCTTTAAAGGAACAGCGACTGAAACGGCATAAAATATTATTTTATACGGAATTTGTTTAAAGATATGTAAAATTGATCAGATATTTGATACTTAAGCCGCATTAATAGGCACTATATTAATGTGCAGAATTCGTTTTTATTACGCTCAAACTGCTATTACAAATGCGTTTACTAATGCAAAAATAAATCTACGTAAAACCAATGCGATTTATTTTTAAGTGGAATGTAAATTATACTATTTTAAGAAACAATTTAGAAGTAAAGAATTATGCCAAATTTGTGACTTAAACAAATATTTTCCTTCTTTAAATACCAATATTTTTCCGTCGGGAAAAAAAATAAATCTGACAATACAAACGACTACTCTGTCAAGAATAAAAATCTAGTTGGCATTTGCAATATACATGCAGCAAAAAAAACATTTTTTTCTCTAGCAGAAATATCCAAAAACATTTCGTAAATACTTTCGAAAATAAAAGCTTTTATTAACATAAAATACACATCTAAAATATCTTTACATCCTGTTTCAATGCATTACCAATTATTGTTTTTTGCATACGCATACGGACAATAATTGGATATAATAGCAAGACAAAAAAAATTATGTTTTCTAAGCTGCCATACCTTCGTCTGTTTTGGTGAGCCACTCTTGAAGTTGTTTGAAATTCGGTATATCAATATTTAAGTCATGTCCAAACTTCTGCAGGAAAGCACATATTATCGCAAAATTTGGATCATTGGCACAAGAGCAACTGCTTCCTAAAGACATCTGCTGTTGTAGAGGACCCATTTGCGCAAATATTCCAACGTAGAAGAGTTCAGTTAAAACCTAAAATGATATTTAGATTAAAATTTGTACACACATTCGATAAATCTCATAGCTATTGTCAGAATGTTTATTGGTAAACAACAAGCCGCAGTATACTTCCACCAACACATCAATTGGACAAGCAAATTGAAGGCTACAGCTCGCATATTTGACTTTTTTCTTTGAGCAATACAGACTTTCATCCATTTTTATGCACATATCATTCTTTATTTTATCCGGAAAAATTTTCCAAGCGTTCTGGACACCACCTTAATTTGTTCTTTCGCATGGCTGTGGTAGTATGTTGGCGTTGTTGACCAATTTAACAAACAATCTGAAGAAAAATATATAATATTGGCATGTAGCGTCATAAGCGTATCTATTCATTTCCCAAAACACATATACCACCTTAATAATTATTAAATTTTTCCACACGCAATAAGTTGAGTTAATAAATAGTGGAAATATCACTTTATAGTCACATGCTGATAGTCATTCTCTCAAATAAAACTGTATTAAAACCTTCCAACACTATCTGTTTTACTTTTCAAGCAAATTCTTTGCAGAAAATTTTCAGTTTTCAATTTTCTTTATAGCCCAAAATAGGTATACCTAAATCGACTCTCATCTATCGATAACCTGCATCAAAATCGATTTCAATAACAAGAACTATCAACTATCTTTTTTTTGTTATTGACTTTCCAGTCGAGTCTGCGTCACCCCTCATTTGAACTAGACCCGTGCTTATTTGACAAATAATTGAACACCAACCGTTAAAAAAAGCATTGATTTAAAAATACAGTTCCTTTCAAAAGAACGCACTAATGCTGTCGCCGACATAAAACGTATACATTGGAGGAAAAATACTTTGTAATTAAACCAAATTGCTACATTATTCTGAATGCATTCCCAATCAATTTTTTTATGTGCACACAACTAAAATAGGGCAACGATTGCTACAATAATTACCTGAAAATGGACGTATCGTGCTTAAGGACTGTAAAGTAACGAGTTCTGCTGAATTTTCTTATTAAAATGCGCGGATAAATAGCAGTTACGTTTTGAAGAAAGTATGTAATGATCAAACATGCTACGACGTTACTTTGTCCTTGACCTATGATAAACTTCACCACAACTGAAAGCAACTTTTAACAAAACTTACAAGAGTGTGCTGCGTTTGCTATGCCTAACCATTAAATTAAACCAATTTGACTGACTCTTGCCGCCAACATAGTAACAAAACGAACAATACAAACACCACCTATATCATTCACCCTAAATTAACATCCCGTTTGTTCAGAGAAGCAATGAAAAGCCGATAACAATAAATCAACTACTTCGACATCGATGAGTTTGTTGTCAGCACTGTAGTGTGAGGGTGTGAGTGCCATTTGACATTCTGATTCAAAGCTCCTTTTTATTCCTATTGTCCCACCAATCTGTGCATACTATTTACCGCTAAAATACATCTCATACTCTGACATAAAAAGTGATGACTTCGATTACCATCACGACATCGACATGAAAAGGTTGCCAGCGCTGAAGTGGGAATTACTTTGACATTTTTCTTCAAACTTGTGCATTTCTTTGAATCGCGAATGCATGTGTGCACGATCATCATCAACCGCCAAAATGGAAGAAGCACATATTGTAGCAAAAATATGCAACAGAGGCAACTAAACAGGCAACAATATAGCCGACATCATATCAACTATGCGTAAAAAGATTCCAAAGTAAGTATTACACATGAAATAATCATTTCTATCGTCACAAGTTCACTCATCTAAAGCTTACTTTTAGGAATGCTGAACTTGAAGCTGAATTGCCTATCATTGCGTAGGAAAAAGTTGCGATTTACTTGAACCAATGTACGTTGTTACTTCGCGGTATATTTCGAAGGAGTAGGGTGTGCTACTGGCTATGGCGTCCTAGCAATGTCAACCTTCCGATAACCAGATACTTTCCAAAAAGTGTGGTAATGTGGACAACCAGTTATGATATTAGACTAATGCTGTCGCCGACATAAAACGTATACATTGGAGGAAAAATACTTTGTAATTAAACCAAATTGCTACATTATTCTGAATGCATTCCCAATCAATTTTTTTATGTGCACACAACTAAAATAGGGCAACGATTGCTACAATAATTACCTGAAAATGGACGTATCGTGCTTAAGGACTGTAAAGTAACGAGTTCTGCTGAATTTTCTTATTAAAATGCGCGGATAAATAGCAGTTACGTTTTGAAGAAAGTATGTAATGATCAAACATGCTACGACGTTACTTTGTCCTTGACCTATGATAAACTTCACCACAACTGAAAGCAACTTTTAACAAAACTTACAAGAGTGTGCTGCGTTTGCTATGCCTAACCATTAAATTAAACCAATTTGACTGACTCTTGCCGCCAACATAGTAACAAAACGAACAATACAAACACCACCTATATCATTCACCCTAAATTAACATCCCGTTTGTTCAGAGAAGCAATGAAAAGCCGATAACAATAAATCAACTACTTCGACATCGATGAGTTTGTTGTCAGCACTGTAGTGTGAGGGTGTGAGTGCCATTTGACATTCTGATTCAAAGCTCCTTTTTATTCCTATTGTCCCACCAATCTGTGCATACTATTTACCGCTAAAATACATCTCATACTCTGACATAAAAAGTGATGACTTCGATTACCATCACGACATCGACATGAAAAGGTTGCCAGCGCTGAAGTGGGAATTACTTTGACATTTTTCTTCAAACTTGTGCATTTCTTTGAATCGCGAATGCATGTGTGCACGATCATCATCAACCGCCAAAATGGAAGAAGCACATATTGTAGCAAAAATATGCAACAGAGGCAACTAAACAGGCAACAATATAGCCGACATCATATCAACTATGCGTAAAAAGATTCCAAAGTAAGTATTACACATGAAATAATCATTTCTATCGTCACAAGTTCACTCATCTAAAGCTTACTTTTAGGAATGCTGAACTTGAAGCTGAATTGCCTATCATTGCGTAGGAAAAAGTTGCGATTTACTTGAACCAATGTACGTTGTTACTTCGCGGTATATTTCGAAGGAGTAGGGTGTGCTACTGGCTATGGCGTCCTAGCAATGTCAACCTTCCGATAACCAGATACTTTCCAAAAAGTGTGGTAATGTGGACAACCAGTTATGATATTAGACTTGGTGAATCTATAACCCTTGGACTTGCGTCATCCAGAACCTTATTTAAAGAATTTTCGGGACATCCCAAATGTTACATCAACTGTCTAAATAGTAATTTAGTGTCAAACCACCCTTTGTATTATAGGAAGTCTTTCAGTGTATGAAGAAATGATTACAGGACGCTAATGGTAAACCAATGCTGCTCAAATTGAAAGACTGCCTTGTGGATGACATTGCTGAAATATAACCGACGCATTATAAGTAGAATGTGATTGGATTGCATTTGCCAGCATATACGTTACACACGAAACATTTCAGCATAGCAAGTTGCTCGCCAAAAATGTTGTTCGACCGAAACTTTAACGAAAGATGCACAGTGAATATGGCTCAGCCTTCCATCTCTATAAAGGAACGACAAGCTGAGGCGCTGTCAATATAACGATATATGTAGGAAAACCAGAATATTCCGACTAACTTTTTTATTTTAGTAATGTATAATTGGAAGCTGGATTGCGTTATGAAAGTATCTGTGTATATATTTCAACAAACTATAGTCATACCAAAGGACCACAAGCGCAGATTAAATTAATTTGAAATCTTGACTTCAACTCCATAACATTTATGTATCCACATCTATTTTTAATTATGTTATTGGGGATAAAAGCTATAATATTGCCGACAGCATATCAGCTCTATATCTGCAAAGGAATACTTGCAAATTAAATCAAATTCCTACATTATTCTGAAGGCGTCTCCAACCAATTTTTTATGTGCACACAACTAAAATAGGGCAACGATTGCTACAATAATTACCTGAAAATGGACGTATCGTCCTTAAGGACTGTAAAGTAACGAGTTCTGCTGAATTTTCTTATTAAAATGCGCGGATAAATAGCAGTTACGTTTTGAAGAAAGTATGTAATGATCAAACATGCTACGACGTTACTTTGTCCTTGACCTATGATAAACTTCACCACAACTGAAAGCAACTTTTAACAAAACTTACAAGAGTGTGCTGCGTTTGCTATGCCTAACCATTAAATTAAACCAATTTGACTGACTCTTGCCGCCAACATAGTAACAAAACGAACAATACAAACACCACCTATATCATTCACCCTAAATTAACATCCCGTTTGTTCAGAGAAGCAATGAAAAGCCGATAACAATAAATCAACTACTTCGACATCGATGAGTTTGTTGTCAGCACTGTAGTGTGAGGGTGTGAGTGCCATTTGACATTCTGATTCAAAGCTCCTTTTTATTCCTATTGTCCCACCAATCTGTGCATACTATTTACCGCTAAAATACATCTCATACTCTGACATAAAAAGTGATGACTTCGATTACCATCACGACATCGACATGAAAAGGTTGCCAGCGCTGAAGTGGGAATTACTTTGACATTTTTCTTCAAACTTGTGCATTTCTTTGAATCGCGAATGCATGTGTGCACGATCATCATCAACCGCCAAAATGGAAGAAGCACATATTGTAGCAAAAATATGCAACAGAGGCAACTAAACAGGCAACAATATAGCCGACATCATATCAACTATGCGTAAAAAGATTCCAAAGTAAGTATTACACATGAAATAATCATTTCTATCGTCACAAGTTCACTCATCTAAAGCTTACTTTTAGGAATGCTGAACTTGAAGCTGAATTGCCTATCATTGCGTAGGAAAAAGTTGCGATTTACTTGAACCAATGTACGTTGTTACTTCGCGGTATATTTCGAAGGAGTAGGGTGTGCTACTGGCTATGGCGTCCTAGCAATGTCAACCTTCCGATAACCAGATACTTTCCAAAAAGTGTGGTAATGTGGACAACCAGTTATGATATTAGACTAATGCTGTCGCCGACATAAAACGTATACATTGGAGGAAAAATACTTTGTAATTAAACCAAATTGCTACATTATTCTGAATGCATTCCCAATCAATTTTTTTATGTGCACACAACTAAAATAGGGCAACGATTGCTACAATAATTACCTGAAAATGGACGTATCGTGCTTAAGGACTGTAAAGTAACGAGTTCTGCTGAATTTTCTTATTAAAATGCGCGGATAAATAGCAGTTACGTTTTGAAGAAAGTATGTAATGATCAAACATGCTACGACGTTACTTTGTCCTTGACCTATGATAAACTTCACCACAACTGAAAGCAACTTTTAACAAAACTTACAAGAGTGTGCTGCGTTTGCTATGCCTAACCATTAAATTAAACCAATTTGACTGACTCTTGCCGCCAACATAGTAACAAAACGAACAATACAAACACCACCTATATCATTCACCCTAAATTAACATCCCGTTTGTTCAGAGAAGCAATGAAAAGCCGATAACAATAAATCAACTACTTCGACATCGATGAGTTTGTTGTCAGCACTGTAGTGTGAGGGTGTGAGTGCCATTTGACATTCTGATTCAAAGCTCCTTTTTATTCCTATTGTCCCACCAATCTGTGCATACTATTTACCGCTAAAATACATCTCATACTCTGACATAAAAAGTGATGACTTCGATTACCATCACGACATCGACATGAAAAGGTTGCCAGCGCTGAAGTGGGAATTACTTTGACATTTTTCTTCAAACTTGTGCATTTCTTTGAATCGCGAATGCATGTGTGCACGATCATCATCAACCGCCAAAATGGAAGAAGCACATATTGTAGCAAAAATATGCAACAGAGGCAACTAAACAGGCAACAATATAGCCGACATCATATCAACTATGCGTAAAAAGATTCCAAAGTAAGTATTACACATGAAATAATCATTTCTATCGTCACAAGTTCACTCATCTAAAGCTTACTTTTAGGAATGCTGAACTTGAAGCTGAATTGCCTATCATTGCGTAGGAAAAAGTTGCGATTTACTTGAACCAATGTACGTTGTTACTTCGCGGTATATTTCGAAGGAGTAGGGTGTGCTACTGGCTATGGCGTCCTAGCAATGTCAACCTTCCGATAACCAGATACTTTCCAAAAAGTGTGGTAATGTGGACAACCAGTTATGATATTAGACTTGGTGAATCTATAACCCTTGGACTTGCGTCATCCAGAACCTTATTTAAAGAATTTTCGGGACATCCCAAATGTTACATCAACTGTCTAAATAGTAATTTAGTGTCAAACCACCCTTTGTATTATAGGAAGTCTTTCAGTGTATGAAGAAATGATTACAGGACGCTAATGGTAAACCAATGCTGCTCAAATTGAAAGACTGCCTTGTGGATGACATTGCTGAAATATAACCGACGCATTATAAGTAGAATGTGATTGGATTGCATTTGCCAGCATATACGTTACACACGAAACATTTCAGCATAGCAAGTTGCTCGCCAAAAATGTTGTTCGACCGAAACTTTAACGAAAGATGCACAGTGAATATGGCTCAGCCTTCCATCTCTATAAAGGAACGACAAGCTGAGGCGCTGTCAATATAACGATATATGTAGGAAAACCAGAATATTCCGACTAACTTTTTTATTTTAGTAATGTATAATTGGAAGCTGGATTGCGTTATGAAAGTATCTGTGTATATATTTCAACAAACTATAGTCATACCAAAGGACCACAAGCGCAGATTAAATTAATTTGAAATCTTGACTTCAACTCCATAACATTTATGTATCCACATCTATTTTTAATTATGTTATTGGGGATAAAAGCTATAATATTGCCGACAGCATATCAGCTCTATATCTGCAAAGGAATACTTGCAAATTAAATCAAATTCCTACATTATTCTGAAGGCGTCTCCAACCAATTTTTTATGTGCACACAACTAAAATAGGGCAACGATTGCTACAATAATTACCTGAAAATGGACGTATCGTCCTTAAGGACTGTAAAGTAACGAGTTCTGCTGAATTTTCTTATTAAAATGCGCGGATAAATAGCAGTTACGTTTTGAAGAAAGTATGTAATGATCAAACATGCTACGACGTTACTTTGTCCTTGACCTATGATAAACTTCACCACAACTGAAAGCAACTTTTAACAAAACTTACAAGAGTGTGCTGCGTTTGCTATGCCTAACCATTAAATTAAACCAATTTGACTGACTCTTGCCGCCAACATAGTAACAAAACGAACAATACAAACACCACCTATATCATTCACCCTAAATTAACATCCCGTTTGTTCAGAGAAGCAATGAAAAGCCGATAACAATAAATCAACTACTTCGACATCGATGAGTTTGTTGTCAGCACTGTAGTGTGAGGGTGTGAGTGCCATTTGACATTCTGATTCAAAGCTCCTTTTTATTCCTATTGTCCCACCAATCTGTGCATACTATTTACCGCTAAAATACATCTCATACTCTGACATAAAAAGTGATGACTTCGATTACCATCACGACATCGACATGAAAAGGTTGCCAGCGCTGAAGTGGGAATTACTTTGACATTTTTCTTCAAACTTGTGCATTTCTTTGAATCGCGAATGCATGTGTGCACGATCATCATCAACCGCCAAAATGGAAGAAGCACATATTGTAGCAAAAATATGCAACAGAGGCAACTAAACAGGCAACAATATAGCCGACATCATATCAACTATGCGTAAAAAGATTCCAAAGTAAGTATTACACATGAAATAATCATTTCTATCGTCACAAGTTCACTCATCTAAAGCTTACTTTTAGGAATGCTGAACTTGAAGCTGAATTGCCTATCATTGCGTAGGAAAAAGTTGCGATTTACTTGAACCAATGTACGTTGTTACTTCGCGGTATATTTCGAAGGAGTAGGGTGTGCTACTGGCTATGGCGTCCTAGCAATGTCAACCTTCCGATAACCAGATACTTTCCAAAAAGTGTGGTAATGTGGACAACCAGTTATGATATTAGACTTGGTGAATCTATAACCCTTGGACTTGCGTCATCCAGAACCTTATTTAAAGAATTTTCGGGACATCCCAAATGTTACATCAACTGTCTAAATAGTAATTTAGTGTCAAACCACCCTTTGTATTATAGGAAGTCTTTCAGTGTATGAAGAAATGATTACAGGACGCTAATGGTAAACCAATGCTGCTCAAATTGAAAGACTGCCTTGTGGATGACATTGCTGAAATATAACCGACGCATTATAAGTAGAATGTGATTGGATTGCATTTGCCAGCATATACGTTACACACGAAACATTTCAGCATAGCAAGTTGCTCGCCAAAAATGTTGTTCGACCGAAACTTTAACGAAAGATGCACAGTGAATATGGCTCAGCCTTCCATCTCTATAAAGGAACGACAAGCTGAGGCGCTGTCAATATAACGATATATGTAGGAAAACCAGAATATTCCGACTAACTTTTTATTTTAGTAATGTATAATTGGAAGCTGGATTGCGTTATGAAAGTATCTGTGTATATATTTCAACAAACTATAGTCATACCAAAGGACCACAAGCGCAGATTAAATTAATTTGAAATCTTGACTTCAACTCCATAACATTTATGTATCCACATCTATTTTTAATTATGTTATTGGGGATAAAAGCTATAATATTGCCGACAGCATATCAGCTCTATATCTGCAAAGGAATACTTGCAAATTAAATCAAATTCCTACATTATTCTGAAGGCGTCTCCAACCAATTTTTTATGTGCACACAACTAAAATAGGGCAACGATTGCTACAATAATTACCTGAAAATGGACGTATCGTCCTTAAGGACTGTAAAGTAACGAGTTCTGCTGAATTTTCTTATTAAAATGCGCGGATAAATAGCAGTTACGTTTTGAAGAAAGTATGTAATGATCAAACATGCTACGACGTTACTTTGTCCTTGACCTATGATAAACTTCACCACAACTGAAAGCAACTTTTAACAAAACTTACAAGAGTGTGCTGCGTTTGCTATGCCTAACCATTAAATTAAACCAATTTGACTGACTCTTGCCGCCAACATAGTAACAAAACGAACAATACAAACACCACCTATATCATTCACCCTAAATTAACATCCCGTTTGTTCAGAGAAGCAATGAAAAGCCGATAACAATAAATCAACTACTTCGACATCGATGAGTTTGTTGTCAGCACTGTAGTGTGAGGGTGTGAGTGCCATTTGACATTCTGATTCAAAGCTCCTTTTTATTCCTATTGTCCCACCAATCTGTGCATACTATTTACCGCTAAAATACATCTCATACTCTGACATAAAAAGTGATGACTTCGATTACCATCACGACATCGACATGAAAAGGTTGCCAGCGCTGAAGTGGGAATTACTTTGACATTTTTCTTCAAACTTGTGCATTTCTTTGAATCGCGAATGCATGTGTGCACGATCATCATCAACCGCCAAAATGGAAGAAGCACATATTGTAGCAAAAATATGCAACAGAGGCAACTAAACAGGCAACAATATAGCCGACATCATATCAACTATGCGTAAAAAGATTCCAAAGTAAGTATTACACATGAAATAATCATTTCTATCGTCACAAGTTCACTCATCTAAGCTTACTTTTAGGAATGCTGAACTTGAAGCTGAATTGCCTATCATTGCGTAGGAAAAAGTTGCGATTTACTTGAACCAATGTACGTTGTTACTTCGCGGTATATTTCGAAGGAGTAGGGTGTGCTACTGGCTATGGCGTCCTAGCAATGTCAACCTTCCGATAACCAGATACTTTCCAAAAAGTGTGGTAATGTGGACAACCAGTTATGATATTAGACTAATGCTGTCGCCGACATAAAACGTATACATTGGAGGAAAAATACTTTGTAATTAAACCAAATTGCTACATTATTCTGAATGCATTCCCAATCAATTTTTTTATGTGCACACAACTAAAATAGGGCAACGATTGCTACAATAATTACCTGAAAATGGACGTATCGTGCTTAAGGACTGTAAAGTAACGAGTTCTGCTGAATTTTCTTATTAAAATGCGCGGATAAATAGCAGTTACGTTTTGAAGAAAGTATGTAATGATCAAACATGCTACGACGTTACTTTGTCCTTGACCTATGATAAACTTCACCACAACTGAAAGCAACTTTTAACAAAACTTACAAGAGTGTGCTGCGTTTGCTATGCCTAACCATTAAATTAAACCAATTTGACTGACTCTTGCCGCCAACATAGTAACAAAACGAACAATACAAACACCACCTATATCATTCACCCTAAATTAACATCCCGTTTGTTCAGAGAAGCAATGAAAAGCCGATAACAATAAATCAACTACTTCGACATCGATGAGTTTGTTGTCAGCACTGTAGTGTGAGGGTGTGAGTGCCATTTGACATTCTGATTCAAAGCTCCTTTTATTCCTATTGTCCCACCAATCTGTGCATACTATTTACCGCTAAAATACATCTCATACTCTGACATAAAAAGTGATGACTTCGATTACCATCACGACATCGACATGAAAAGGTTGCCAGCGCTGAAGTGGGAATTACTTTGACATTTTTCTTCAAACTTGTGCATTTCTTTGAATCGCGAATGCATGTGTGCACGATCATCATCAACCGCC